CCCCAGCTCCCCAGCTCCCCAGCTCCGAGGGGTGGGGGGGAGACAAGCGCCGGAGTGGGGGGCTAGATGAAAATTTCCAGCTTTCACTGCAACTGGAGTGGGGGATTCTGAGACTAAAATAAGCGGCGTGAGAGGGAGAGAGTGGGATGTGTCGTCGGGAGTCCGCGGAGTTTCCAAACCCAGGGTCGCCCAGAGTTGGGGTTTTGACAGGGTGAGGCGGGGCTATCAGTAGTCTATGATGTGAACGGATGGGAAAAACACAAAACAATCACCAACAATAATTATAAGGGGCCGGTGGGGGTTGTAAATACTAACACTTTCCAAGAAATAGAAAAATCAGACCAAAAAATATCTTATTAAAAAAAAAAAAAGAAAGAAAAAAAGGATTGGCAGGATGCCTTGCAAAAAAAGAAAATACTAACTAATCTGTCCAAGCACTTTTCACTTTCAGCATGAGCTACATTTGTTTTGTTTTCCTTTGCGTCCTTTCGGCCTCACAAAGCCCTGTCTTTTTTTCCTTTTGGACAGAAGATATGGTTTGGAAATTGTCAGTCACTCTTGGGGTTAACGATCTACTTGAAGGGGCTGGCGGGTTCACAATTATTAAGTGGTTAGCAACTGCTGAGGGTTCACTATAGTATTTCTGAGTAGCTAAAAAGACTAAAATTTAGTATAAATAGCAGAACTGCGAGATAATAGACAAACACACACAAGATGAGGGCTTAGGTTAAATGCATTATTAGAATTCTGAAAATTGAAACCTTAGAAGAATGTATACTTTACCTGCTGAGAAAACCTGACTACAATTATTCAGGTGAAAATGAGATTTTGTAGGAAAAATAAAGTCTTCAAGACTTTCTGCAATGGAGTAAAAGAAAACTTACAATAGCTGTCTTTTTTGGAAAGAATCCAGTGTTCTCCAAAATCTTTACCTGTAGAATACATGAAACCCTTTTAAATATTTTAAAGCAAAATTAAAAAAAAATTATTTTAGTGCTTTGTGGAAAGATTAAAACCCGGCAAAATTCTGTTTGAATTGGAAGTATTATCCCTATAAATTTTTTGATTTTTTGAATTAAACCATGTTACTAATTTCACAGTAGATCAAATTTTTGCCTTTATAAAATTGGTTCTATATGACAGTGTTAAGTAAGGTCAGGGAAATAAAAATTGATGCATTTCCACTAGAGAATGCATTATACATTGTGCATTATAATAATTTTTCCTTAAATAATAAAAGTGAATAATTCTGTGTCTTAAACCTTAAGAGAATTCATAAAACACATTTGGTGTTTAAGAGCATATCTTCTAAAATAAAATTCGGTTTCTGAGCAAAATTTGTGTTTGTAAAGTTACCTAAAATCTCAAATAACTTATAAACTTAAGAAAATAAATTAGATATTATATTTATATAAAATTGTGGATCACTACAAATCACTAATTAGACTTTCAGCCAGAGATATAAATGGGAATCCTCCATTTCCAGAATTGCTCACACTTATCAATGCTCTTTAAAACAAGTTTTACTTGCTAGTAATGAACATGTTTATATAATCCAGAAATAATTGCCAGTAAATAGTCATAGGAACCAGCACATGATGGCAAGAATTTAATTGAGTAAATAATTTATTTAAAAAACAGTAACCCGTAAAATATCTTTAAAATGAACAGAAAATTGTCTTTTCTACACTGGATTGTATTTTTAGTTACTGAATTTGACAACAACCATTGCTAGATTAGAAATTCCATGATTTATATTATCAGGTCACTTGGGCAATGTAAAAACCAGTGAAACTTTATTTAGTTATATATGTTGATATCCAGTGTTAACTCTCTTTCTGTCCCTTTCTTTTTTTTTGATATTGCTTGTGTTTTATGTTAATTTATCATTGTTCACTGTCTTTAGTTATGGTTCACATTAAATCCCGGTTGGTTAAAGCTTCAGACCCAAGGAGGTTTTACAATGGATTGTATAAAATTAGTAAATATCAGATTGTTTTTGTTTATGGATAACTTCCTCTGTGGTTAACAGGTTATCATAACAAAATTTGTGCAAAGTTTATAAACTGTGTACAAAATTCCGACTCCTTTGTTCAGGAGTCTTCAATGAATGAACACATAGCATTCAAAAATAATTTGGCTTGAACCAGTATTTTCATGCCACATATAAGATATTCTAAAGTTGCAAATCATCTTACAGGTTTTTAAAAATTAGAATCTGTGGATTTATTTCAAAATATGGTATTGTAACTTACACTGAAAGTTTTCTTAGTGTTACATAAGGGACGTATTTTATGTGTGAACATTTTCATATCAAATACCTGTAAGTTTTTGTTTTCACTTAAATAAAAATAAAATTTTAAATTCTGGTCTATAATTTTTAATCTTGTTAAATAAATGAGTAACTTATTTAAAATAGTAATCATGTAAGGTACTTCTAATTTGAAATCATCTCTGATTTATGTTGGCTATTTGCTTTATAAAATACATTTTCCAGAAATTCAGAAATGAGCCTTTGCTATAATCTACTACACAATTATTTTAAAGTATATTTCTGGTTTAATGACTTTGAAACGAGTTACCCTCCTTTTTAACCTGATTCCCATGTGTTTGTAAATGTTATCTTTGTTGAGTGATTACCTTGAAAAACTATAATTTTAGCAGAAATAGCATGATATCATTTGCAGTGCATTTTAATGCATTCTTCTCCCTCTCCCCAGACATTTTCAAGATATTATATTTCCCCTAAAATATAATATTGAAAGTTTGCTGAATAACCTAGGAAAAATCAATTGTATTGCCAACTTTTTCAATTGTAAAATTCTAAACTTTAAATGATTTTTAAAGTTCAGTATTCTAAATTATTTGCTTCTTGTCAATTTAGAAATGACCTGGATTTTTCTCTTTTTGTTGTTGCATGTGATCTAGTGTGTTGCATTTGAACAGTGACACTTGAAAAGATTTTGATATTTGCCATTGAGAAAAAAATATCTCAGGTAGTTGTTTATAAAATTTTAGGAAGAAAAAAACAGACTTTATTATCTTTTGGAACATTCTGTTTCCATGGGTTCTACTACTCTATAATTATCCCTTGCAACATGTCAGTACTATGTTCATATTTGTATAATTGTCGTCATCTTTTCTAATTTTTTTCCTTTTGATAGACACGAATATATTCTTTTTCCTTTGTGTGGTTGTATTTGTGTGTGAATACCTATATGTTCTTGGCATATTGTTATGACATGTTGAAAACATGTTCTTAAGATCCTTTCATCATCTATATTAGAATTCTGAGTAATCAGAAAAATAACTATGGAAATATACTTACAATAGATGGTGATAATCACATTCAAATACCCACATTTCCTTTCAATTTACACTTACCTGTAATTTTCACTGGCTTCTAGCCTTTCTTTTCTGAAGATAAAACTTCCATTTCGACTGCACCCATGGCCTAACAATTATGTTGCCATAGCTGCTTTTGGTTGAATTAAAGGGTGTGTACATGTCTTATGAAGAAGTTTGAAAACTAGGATGTAAAGCTGCATCCTAGCTCTAGTTTTGTGACCCATTAAGGAATTTGCACAACAAAGTCATATTGTCACAGTTGTTCTTAAACAGCTTTATCTGTCATTTTAATCGACTTTATGATTTTATGCTCATATTACTTTTTCTTATCTACAACATTTTAACATTTAAAAGGGTATCCTGTCCGCCTCATTGATTAGTAAGCCCCTCAAAGCCATCAATATATTAACACATACTTAGTGAGCACATGCTAGTCAAGGAACTGGGTTAGATGTTGTGAATCATTTAAAAACAAAACTGCTTGAACTACATCAAACCATAAAGCTTCTGTACAGCAAAGACAAAAATTGACAAAATGAAAAGGCAACCTATAGGATGGAAGAAAACATTTGCAAACCATATGTCTGATAAGGAGTTAATATCCAAAATATTTAAGGCGCTCATACAACATAATACCAAAAAACCCCCCAAAATACTCCAGAAAGGTGTATACATGTTTTGGATAGACCATTCATTCAGATGGAGCAGTGAAGGTACAACACAGTGGATAAAGGGTTAATATCTGAAATACATAAGGAACTCATATAACACTATACCAAAAAAACAAAAAACAAAGGTGTGTACATGTTTCAGATAGACCATTCATTCAGATGGAGCAGTGAAGGTACAACACAGTGGTGGTGAATGATGATAAAGTAGGATCTGGGAGGTAGGAGAAGAGACAAAGAAGGCACCCAGGGAAAAACTTCCATGAATGGCCTG